GGAAATATAAAGAACGTGAAATACAGTATGTCTCAAGTCAGTTGCTCTGAGGTGTAGCTAAAAGACACAAATAAAACAGGTCAACCATCTCCTCTTAGGTAGCACAATACTACAGGACTCATTTTTTATTCTGTAATTTGAATCAAGAGTCAACCATCAAAATACAAGTGGTTAAGACAAATATATGTAATTGTCATATAGACTGTGGGGTTTGTTGTTATTCTTTATTACTTAAAAATAAATTTGAGAGGTTTCTAGCATATGTTTAAAACACGACAGTCTCTTGAAAAATCTAAGCTAGCAAATTAAAACCATAAAAATAAGACACTTGTGTGCATCTCTTGATCCAAGAGTGTCATGCAGTGAGGAGATGAGGGAATCTCAGGCTGTGTGTTTTTGATTTGGATATTTAGGCCTGTAGCAAATAAATCATGGCAATCTAGGCACTGAAACAGAAGTCAGCTGTCTAAATTAGAGGACTCAAGCTTATGTTCATTATTTTATATATTTAGCACCTAGCATTTGTGTTCCTCTCCAGTTATAAAACTGACAATAATGTACACAGTGCTTTCCAATGGTAATATCCTGAACAATTGTTAATAATTCTGGGTAATGCATCCTATATGACAGTCTAAATCTGTGACAGAAATCCTACAAGATAACATAGCACACATTAGCATTATTTGGACAGATTACACCTCCTAGAGTCACAGCCACATCCAGGGGAGCAAGAGACTAGTGCTTTATTTTTTACTTAATTTGCTTTGTTTGTGGTAGGTGTGGGTAGCCCCAACCAAAGCATATAACTTCTAATATACTCTTAATATACTATACCTCTTAGTAAACCTACCTAGTACACTTTAAAACACAAGGGTCTAAGAGAAAGATGCTGATAACTAGCTATATTTAGCCACTACCTTCTTGTAGAGTAGGATTCCTCAATTTAAAGTGGCAGAAGATGAATATTCACACCAAAGTTGACTCTTTGACCTTAACTAATCTATTTTCTCCAAAGTATTGTAAGTCATGCAATGTAATTAAAAAACTGGACATGGAATTGTCTGTATTTTACATCACTGACATATCTAGTCCTCTATTCCTTATTGTATAATCTTTAAAAGCTCTTATGAATCAAATAATTTTTACTACTATGGAAACCACATCATATAATCCTTATTGTAAACCTAAATAATACAGGTTTTTCACCCTCATTACTGCGACTAGAAAGCTCCTAAAGAATGTCACCAATGGACAATTAGCTTTCGAATTTCTACTTTAATACATAGATAAAGTATAAGCTTTTGTTTTTGTGTGGCAACATCTTCTTTTATTTTAAGCAGTTAATTCCTTTCCTTCCCACCTTGCTTGCATACCCTCAAGGTCTTAATTTTAGATATTAAACAAACCTTAGTCATTTTACACTTCACCTCCCTTTTCACGACCATTCCAGCAGTGCAAGACCTCACTTGTCCCAGCTAGAACTCAATTTCTTGAACATGACTAACCAAAACTGAACAGATTCAGTTTTTTGCAATGGCACCCAACATTTCCCTGTTTGACTGGAAATACTTGATCTAACATATCTGCAGACCTAACTTGATCTTTTTTAACAGCTGTATTGGCAGCTCACAGTCATCCTATGATTTGTGAATATTCCAAGGTTCTTCTTCAATCTCTTCTAACAGATAAAATCAAAGTTTCTAGTTTGGGTTATTGGTCTCAAAGCACCTAATCATTCAATATCCTTGAATTTCATCCCAGTTTTTTACATCACTTCTTTAGCCATCCAGCTCTTCCCTGCTGTGTCCTTTGCATATTCCTAATACATCAAAATTCCATTTTAACCAACATGAAAATACAACAATAAGTCTGCAGGATGAGACCAATGTCAGTTGTTCCCAGATCATCTTGTCTTCAGTCAGAAGGTTTCTGCTAAGCCAGAGGACAACCATCAGCAGCAGATAAACACCTTCCCTGTTGCTCAGCCTGAGCATTTTACAAAACAGAACACAGAGTACTTTACAAACTCCAGTCAAATCCTATGAGTCACCATCAGAAACAACCTTGATTGCTGCAGAAATCTCCATAATAGTGCAACATCTACTCCCACCTCCTTTCTAGGTAGATTGTAGCACGTTTTACAGTTCTGATACAAATCTATGTCTTTAACAAATTCTCATTTGCCATAGCTCTTCTTTAGTAAAAATAAATTAGACCTTTAATATTAAGTTAATCACATTTATTAATAAAAACTGAAGCAATCCTGACAAAATGAAGCTGAATTATATTCCCTGCATTAAGCATACCACAGTATTTCTGAAGCAAACAGTTAAGAAACTAGGAAAATGGAGAATGGTACCACGGGAATGTGGTATCTCACGGACTAGTCAGGGGTTCAATAACTCTTTTATGCAATACAGGCTAGTCTAAATAAGACTGAAATAGATATTACTAATACGTAGTAGAAGATTTTATTTACTGTCTATCTAGCCATTAGCCCAATTGCCTTTTACTTTTCACCTCTCCTTTTCAATAATTTTGCTACTCAAGCAACCTTATGTTTTAAAGTCAAGTATGGTTCTAAAAATGCTACAAAAACTGTAGCATTTGGTTGGCTAAATGAAACAGAACAAATAAGGGAAAACAAAGACTAAGACATCTCACTACTCACTTTAGGACCTATTATTTCACCTCCAGTACCTTTGTAAAGGTCAAGTGGTTAAACCTTGACCTTTACAAATTAATCAGCACAGTATATAACCAAATTCTTATGTATTTGGGATTTTTTTAGATGAAATTGAACGATTTTATTTTTACAAGAGCCCTAGCAGCAACACCTACATTTTACTTTGTGTTTAAAGAAAAATCCTGAGGAACTCCTGAAAATATTTCAGCATTTAAATAAGCTCCTTATTTTCATCACCCATGGAAGCATTAAATGATTTCTGGGAAACTGTTCTTGCACCTAAACCCCTTCCCTATTTTACAACCACCACTTGAGCCAGTATGGTTTCTAGATCACATAACAAGGAACACTTTTTTTTTTTTTAACAGGATTGGTATGGAATGCACTCCCACAAAACGAAAACCTTTGTGGGTTGTTTAAGAATCCATGTGAGAAAAATGGAAATTTGAACAGATTCATGTAAAGTCACAGCAAGGTAATGCAGAAGCAAACGTTAAAACATTAACAGTGACTCACTCTGAATTTAATTAGTGTCAATGGGCTCAGTGCACTGTGCAGCTTACACTCACATCATTGTGCACAGGGATGATAAACATCAAATTCTGATGTTTGCTGATGAAGACATCTTTCTGTATCCTTGGAGAAAGAAAAATGAGGATGAAAATGAAAGAAAAGCACTGCAAAAATGAAACAAAAATTACAGGCATCTATTCCAATGAAGAAATTTTTTTTTTATTCTACTATTTTCGGGGAAGATGTTATTGCTTATCTTTGACTGCAAACCCTCTCTGTTGCAAAAGCCCTTGAACCATTCAAATGCTTTGTCTGATGGGGAGAGAGACTGACACAATCAAGTGGCATATCAAGGTATTTTGAAAGAATTTTTTTATAACTTTCAGATCTTTCTAAAGGAAATGATGCACCAAAATGCAGCAAAGGCACATGAACAGAATTATAGTGCTTTGCTTCATGCCTTAATACGTAAAAGTCCTTTAATTCTGTTTCTTTTTACCATAATAAAACATTTTTCCACCTTTACCAAAAAAAAAAAATTCTTGATATTTTTCCCCAAAATTTAATGCTGGATGGATACTATTCTCAGAGAAATACGATAGCTGGAAGCTGTATGGAGCTTACCTATACAAAGTTCTATACTCACAACACTATTGCTTTTGGTATTCCATATATGTATACAGCTTTTGAGCAATGAGGCTCAGATTATCTGAAGCAAAATTAGTATGTTGCCAGCACTCAGAACATTTTTATCACCTCCCCACCTCTGAAGACACATTGCTATCTAAAAGTTAAATTTCACTTCCAGATGACAGTGAAAAATGGAGGATGTACCCCCAGTATACCTGAAAATGGAAGAAAGGTGCAACAAAAAGAAGTTCTTTCTTTTTTTGAAGACATGATTTTTAAACCAATTTTGTTCTAGATTTGGCTTATGCTTTTTAATATTTGAAGCACCAACTGATTACTGGAGTTAGAGCTGTAATGAATGACAGTTCAAAGACAATATGCCAGTAGCTTCCCCTTCCTTCATTTCTTTCCTTACAGTCATGGCCTATGCTGTTCATCTGGCCGCTTGCCCACGTGCCTCTTCACCTACCTTCCTCTTCCACTCCCCACCACCTCCAGCCCCTCTCCACACCTGTCCATGGCTCACAGACAGGAGGGTGAGCAACCCTTCACTCGCCCCTCCAACACAACCCCGCCGGTAGTCCGAGCACCCCAAGCCAGGCAGAGGTTGCAGCTGCTCCAGAGATGCTTTTGGCTCTGCCACCGCACCCCTACGGCCGCAGTAACTCTTCAGCCACCAGGAGACGGGCCCGCCCACACTCGCTTGAAAAATAAAAGCTGCAGGAAGCAAAGGCAATGCCATGGCGTCGCCAAAATGTGTGTCACCCTGCCATTTTATGGTTTTCCCACAGTGGATGCTCACAGGTGGCGAGGACGCTGCTGGGTAGGTTTCTTTACCGCTGCCTCATTGCTGACCCAGCGCCACCAGCGACGCCCACTTGAGTTTGCACCGCCTGGAAGATGGTGCAACACCGGCCGTGCGCTGAAACGCGGACCGGGCACGGCCTGGGGGAGAGGGGACGCTGACACAATCCCGGAGCTCCTACGGGCACGCCGGGACCGGGGCGAGGGCGGGGAACAGGCGGCTGGCAGCGGGCAGCAGAGGCGCGGGGGACGGCCCTGGGGGGCGGCGAAGGGGCGGCGGCGCCCGGTGGGCCCCGTCCTCCCCCTGGCGGCGGCCGCTCCCCGCAAGGCTGGCACCGTCCCGTCCCCTGCCCGCGTCCGTCGGTACCTGCGCGGCGTGCGCGGCCGCGGGCGGCTCCCCGATCCAGAGCGGCTCCCTGAGGAGGTGCTGGTGGCTCAGGCACTGCTTCAGCGCCGACGGCACCGTGCCCATGGCGAGCGCGCCCGCCGCACGACCGGCGCAGCCGCTCGGCCCGCGCGCGAGCGGCGCCGCGATTGGCGGAACGCGGGCGCCGCCGCGTCCCCTCCCGCGCGGCTGCGGCGGCCGCCGCCTCAGCCGCCTGAACCCCTCACAGCGCCGCCCGCCCGTCCTCGCCTCCCCGAGCCCCCGGCACTGGGTGCCCGCGCTCAGGGCGGGCTTGGCCGGCGCCGCCGCAGCCTGCAATGGCGGGGCGGGCGCGCGGGAGAAACCCCTGAGCAGAGACGCGGCCCGGGACGCGGCGGGCACGAGCGCGAGGACAGCCGGCCGTCCTGACCCGCGTGTCCCCTGACACGGCCGCGGGACACGGAGCCCAGCCGGAGCTGGCACGGCTTTAGGCAGAAAGACGAAAGAGAGGAGCAAGGAGAAGGGACAGGGCTGCTTCCACACCAAGCCGCGTGCCCTGTTCCCCATCCCGGGGCCGAACGCGGCCCTGATCGCTCGGCCGTCCGGGTGACACGAGGCTCTATGCGCACACTTCAATTTCTGCTTTCCACTTGGATAGCAGAAACTTAAGAGCGTAGCAAATGGAATACTGTTCAGATTTCAACAACTCTCTCCGCAGCAGCAGGTTATATTTTGTCAACTCCTTCAGCATTCAGTGTGTCAGCCAACTTTCCAAACTCCCCTCAAGCGAAATACCGAATGCACTGGAAATTGTTTCTGGATCATTTCTTTTCTGGGGTATCAGGGATTTTTTTCTTAAATTGACTAACCTTTCTGTCAGTAATTTTCTGCAAAAGATTATCAGGTTTACTGCCAAGTCTCTTGTTTCAGTCGTTCACAGACTGGCGCGATGCTCTCAAAGCTGCGTATTTTTCTTTTGCTGTTTTGCATTTCATGCGTGCTGTTCTGTGCATCCAAAAGTGGTGTTTCCATAGCCACTGTAAACCAAAACTGGATGCTGATTGATTGGCTGGGAAATTTTTGTTTTTCAAGGGTAATGATGGCTTCTCAGAAATAAAATATTTCAAATACAATTTTAAAATTTAATTTAAAATATTGCTGGTGGTCATCTCTGCAATTTCAAGTCTGTGCCAGGGGGTTTTTCTACCTACTGCAATATGATGCACTTAATATCTTTTCTTCCTTCTTCTAGTAAAATATTTGTAAATTCAACATTCTTATATTTTCACAGTTCAAAAATACACTAAGTTTCCATTAAATGCTGACGCTGGGTACTTGCTTTGATCTTGTTACCCATAAAATTAGGGATAAAATGTAGAAAAGCTGACCAAAAAACTCAAACCTTTCTCTTTTGTTTTCCAGTGAGAGACAGTTTACCAACGATGTGGTATACATGAAGGAAAAACAACTTTATTAAGATCTTAAAAAATTATTTTTCTTTTTCGCTTTTCTGTACATTTCATAGCGAGTTGGAAAAAGAATAAAAACTGCAATTGCGCGGAAGTTAGAGAATGTGAATGAAGTGTACCTTGCTTGCCTACGTACCTGGCCTGTTCACAAGTTACTCAAGTACCGAAGTGAAATTTCGTATGGCCTTTAATCATCTTTCTTACAAATATCTCTGAAATTAGCTGCATTGTAACTCTCTGCAGGTAGCTTAGACATCAAACTGCTATCTTCTCCCTGTTAAATCCCTTCTAATGGTATCGCTTCTGTGTCTGTCACTATTTCTATGAACATAACAATAAAACATACTGCCAGATCGAATGCCATTTTTGTAGGGCTTGAAGCTTCAGTAGGCTCTTCCACCATATGCCTACTGTGAATATTTTCTGACACAAATCCACTTTAAGACTCAGAGTGCCAACAAATATGCTGAAAAGGAGCATCTTTATCTGAAATCCAGGTGGTGTTGGGCGGAGAAGGAAAATATAACCGAGATATATTCTAAAGTAATTCCAAATAAACTTTCTCATGCAACAGTTTCTCACTGTTTCTTTTGTGTTGTACCTCTCATTCTCCCTGCAATCAGCATTTGTTCTTCACCCTTGCCAATTTGGCACTGAATTTTTCAACTACTCCTAAATCCATGCAAGGAGTTGTTTCAAAATCAAGAGATGTATGAATAAAACACATTCATCTGAAACTTGCATGTTTCTCGGGAGAAGAAGAATTGTGATAATTTATCTTTTGAAAAAAGCCCTATGTGTTAAAAGCTTTAGAGCTAAAAGGAATTGTTATTGTTAAACACAAGTCACATAGGTCACGAGGGTGCTAAAGTATCTCCAAGAAGATTGTATGTTAGGCATGTGCAGTCATCCTGATACTGTTTTTGCTTGCAGGGGCTACAAAATTTACTCCACCCCACTTTGTGAGTTAACATGGAGGCAAATACAGTACAATATGACGTTTAACCTTGTCTACTTTCAGTGATAATACCAGTATATTTATTAATTGAAGGGTTTGCAAAATCATGTAAAGAACAATGGACATTTCTGACAGATCTGTAGCAGCACATGGGCCTCTCGTAGTCTGGACATGCCCTATGCTGTTCCTTATTTTAATTCTGCATATCTTTAGTTCAACAATGGCGTTTTGGAACAACTTCAGTTTACTAGAACATGTGGAAGAACTCAGATGTGTTTAGTGGTATATCAGGATAGTGAGTAGAAATTGCACATTTTGGCTTTTGGCTTTCTATCTGTCTCAAAACTATTTATCATTCTGATATTCTTCTGAATTTATCATTGTCATTGGCTCACACTGTGTTCTGGTCAAAGGTCTTAAAACGTTTATTAAAAGGAATGCTTTTCGCTAAAATAAATAATCTCTCATAAAAGTCATGCCACCAAGCCAACCAGATGGGAAGAACAGGCAAATTTGTGTAATATACAGAATAACTTCAAATACTACCATGAGAGATGTTTCTGTACTCCTTATTGTTCCCATACAGTTACACTGGTAGTTGGCAGTCAGATCATTAGGAGTGGAAACATAAAGCTGTTGGATTTCCTGCAGTGTGACACAAAACCTTGGCCAAGAAAGGCATGGTAAAAATAGGTTGATCATTTATAAGCATCTAAAAGAAAATAAGAAAGTTGTTTAAAGAGTGATTTGATGACAGCAAGAAGGACAGAATCAGAAGCAAGGGAGCTATTCATACTGCTGATAATCATAAGTGCCAAACTGGCAAGTAGCCAAGGTGCCTACTAGGCAGGGATCAAAGACACATATGGTGAGTCTCAAACAACAAATAAGCCATAGAATTCTGGCAAGCATTGAAGGAATAATATGCTCCAGCCCTGACAAAGAAGATGAGGGCTAAAGAAAAAACAATGGGGCTACCAATACTGGATCATACCTCAGGGAAAGCAAGGCTTTCATCATTTCAGTTTTATTGGAGAAAAATGCAGATAACTTCTCACATATGGTAGGTCTGGTTGATCTAAATTGATGGGAAGTGTAACACAATGTTAAAAAATATCCTTTACAGTTGTGGCAGTAAATCAGTGTTCCATTAGCTGTGGCATCATTCAGAGACGGCATTCTTCAGAGAGTTAGTAATAGATTTACTTTGCCAAAGTAAGACTATATCCCAGGTGATAGACACCTGGCATTTGAAACAGACACAATCAAGAAGAAAGTCCAAGTTACATCTTGCCAGATGTTGAATCCTATTCTATGTTCTTTTCTGTTCTTTCACTTATTAAGTCAGATGGCAGGTTTTTTTGCCAACTACATCACAACGTAAAACAAATAAACAAAAAAAATGGAAACATTTTATTCTCATGCTACTAGACAGCATTCAATAGGAAAAGAAGGAAATCCTGTGAGTGTAGACCTGGTTTCATAATCACGACAGTTACACGTACGTACACAGAGTCATAAAAGAAAGAGGCATATCATTTGCTATACTATTTTACATTCATAAAGGGCAATGACTTTCACACTGGTAAGAATGGTACTCGGCAGCCCTTTGGGTCTTTGGGTGGTCTCCAAAGTACCAGCACTACATAGCTCCATATAACTGTTATGAGGCATATCAAAGACAGCAGAGAATTGCAGCAGAAAGTCCTTATTTATGGATAACATTTTCCATTTGAGTTGTTTCCATAACTGACAGAAATGCTGATGAACCAAATGTGTCCTTTGTCTGACTCCATCATTTAGACTGTAATTTCTTTGTCTCAGTGACCTGACCTACCACTCAGCAGTATCAGGAGAAACTATGAGCCAATTCCTGAATGGATTTTCAAGGTGCTATTATAATATTTAAGAAAATATTTCCTTTTCAGAGCAAGTATTTTGCCTACTGTTACACAGACTTCATTTCCATCTCTTTTTTCCACATAAATGCAGTTAGTATCTCCATCTCCACCCAGTCTTCTCTGCCAATAAATACTGATGTGATTTCTTATATGGATTATAAGGTGCAATATGCAGTAACCTCTGATTTCCTTCTTCCCTTTATGTTGTTAAGAGCGAACAAAATAGTATTGATTGTCAGTGAGGCCAGTTTTCTTGCTTTTCCAAGAAGTGACCCCTTCACATCCTGTAGGATAAAGAGAAACTATGAGTTACCCGTAGGAAATATTTACTGAATAAAGAGATGGTGGAACAGCTTTTATGCTATATCCATTTCTTTTCAAGTAAAGAGCATTTATCAGAGTTTAGTCAAAACAGGGCAAAATAACCACCTGGAAAGTGTACCTGCACTGCATTCTGGGAATAGTGCTTTCCAAACAGGAAAAAAGAGTTGAAGATCTGCACCCTTTCTGTTCTCTTAGGGAGCATTCTTCTGATTTATTTTAAATACCTATTTTAGTATCAAATGAACCATATTCTATGAACCATATGCAATTTCTCTATTTCAAACTTTTCCAGCAAGTGAAAATCAATTAGGCATTATCAAATAAAGCACAAATATATGTAGACAATATGAATCCAAAAGTTAAATTTATCTTTTCTTTTTTTGTTTTATTCTTCTAGTTTTTAAGTTAATGTGCAAAACTTACTTTGTGGGAATAAGTGTTTGAATTTTTTTTTAAGCATTTGCCTTGTAACTGTCCTTTTAAAATTATTTGGGGTACTCAACTTCCATGGCCTTGGCATTAAATTGTTGCAGAGCAATAG